TCTTGTATAGGTGGGGAAGAACCACAGGTCCCCACCCTTGATCACTTCCAAAAGAATTACATCTTTTTCTAATGCTTTAGCAGTGACCAGATTGTCTATGGCCTTACTTAGGTTCACAACAGTTGTAATATTCATCAAACTCTTCAAGGACAGATATCACTTTGCCTTAAACAGAAGCTCTAATAACAGAGACAGAAAGCAAAGAGTATCAAGAAGTGATGCTATAGATGTTTGGTGGATTTTATTTTTGTTCAAGGTAAGCAGATTTTATCACTGCAGTAAAAAAAAATCTTGCAAAGATATGGGAACATTTTTTAATCTTCCAGGCCAGAGATTTTGGTTTGCATCTCATGCCAAATATCTTTATTAGAAAATCTAGAGGTATGTATGACATTAAACATATCTTTATAAAATATTATTAACCATGCACCTGATTTATTAGATGAGTCGTGTTCTGCTGCTTGACTGAATTGTGATGGATTAAGTGAATTCTTATTTTTCCTATTATTGGAACATAAATCTGTATGCAGTTGGTCCCCTGAAGGTCAGATCTTATTCTTTTGTTTTGGATTGCTTCTGGATTTATTGCATTTCTTTCTTCTTCACTTTTTTCAGTGCAGCATCTTCCAGTATTTTGTGCTCCACCTACTCCAACAGTCATTCCCTCATCTGCTTGTTGAACAAATATATATATATATATATATATATATATATATATCTCAATATCTGTGGTGCACCAGTTATGAATTTCTGAAACATTAGGTCTAATATATATATATATATATATATCTATATATATCTCAGAATATCTGTGGTGCACCAGTTATGAATTTCTGAAACATTAGGTCTGTTAACTGATATTGAAAATTAATGATAAAGTGTTTATGATGTCTAGGCAATGTAGAATAATCTAAAGTTCTGGAAGTATTTTTCTATTACAAACATTTTATTCAGTCTTCACTGTACTCTTCTTGGCTAAGACTGAATTAACAAAAGTTCAAATATTCCTCTAAAAAAAGTGGTGATTTTATTTCAGCTTTAGCAAAGCTACATTGTTCAAGAATTTCATTGTAAAGAATGTAATCAATACCAGTGTTACTGTTATATTTTGATAGTTAAAAGTAATGGAGGCCAGGACACAATCAATTTGTTTTGAAATGATGTTGCAGTCATGATAGCCCAGAAAATGTGGGAGGCTCAGATTTTTTTCAGGTGATATCTTTTATTGGACCAGCTGTATAGTTGGGAGAGATCTTAGATTAGCCTTCCTCAGGTCTGGAAAGGAGCAGACACAGCTAGTGCTCAGTAAATTGGCTTGTACAACCCTCCCCCGTTCCTCTAAGCAGACTGTTTCTATTTACATAGGGAGTTTTACAGAGGCCTTTGTTCTTTCTGTTACTTAAGTCAAGCTGTGTCTCCTCCTTTACTAGAACTAAGGGTCCGGGATGAGCAATACAGACAACTGTCCTGGGCATCAACTTGGGCTAGGGACAGACATTAATTGATTCAATCTTTGCAGATTAGTCTAGCCTGCCTAGGGTGAACCAGTTTGTAATTGCACAGGCATTCACTCTGAACTGAGGAAATGCAAGCACATGCCTGCAGTGGCTCAGGCTAGGAGCTGGAGCGGGGGGGCCTTCCCATCCCTTCCACAGTGCTGAGATGCAGTGGGGTGTGGCCAGGCCCTGGCAAGACACTCTGATTAGGGAGGAGTATAAACCCCCACCCTGCCTGCACTGTCTCAGGCTTTTCCCCATTCACTGTTCAAGAGGAGTATTGCCAGACCTCAGAACCTGGCTAGCACTCTGAGGCAAAGGGAGGGTGTGAAGTACATGCATCTGTTGATGGTACTGAGCTTTTCAATCTCCCTCTTCCTGCTTCTTCATCCTGTCTGCAAACTTGACAGGCAAGAGAGCCAGCAGGGGGCTGATAGCATAGCATTTATCCAGCCATCACCAAAACAAAAGCCTCTCTCATTAGTTTGAGCTCTTCTAAAACAGCTTTTTCCAAGGAAGGAAGGGAGGGACATTACCAGCTGACCTGTTGATTAGCTCCAAAAAGCCCTAAGCGGACACTGTTCTGTTTGCCTGTCCCAATGAAATTGGAGATACACACACGCAGATTAGCTAGCATACCACATGCCTAGGGTCCATGGGGCTGGGGTTCATGCTGTGGGAGATGAGAGGGAGAGGGGGATCCCTGCTTGAGCAGCAAGCAGCAAGGAGGGGGGAGGGGGGAGCCAGACAAACCCTGCTGTGCCTGCAGTCTCTGCCAGAGCTCTGGCTAGGGAACAAAGGGGTGGGGCTGGTCTGTTCTCTGGAGTAGACAGCCCAGCCCAGGGCTGCAAAGCATCTGGGATGCTGGGGAACTCTGATTTAACATAAACCAGGAACGAATCTGGGACAGACATTACGTAAGCTGGTTTGACCCAAATCAGTTAAGTCCAATACTAGGGCTGTGTGAAGCTTTGGGTGGTGATTCGATTCAGAGGAGATTTGGACCAATTTGGTGGCCAAATCTCCGAATTGGAAAAGATTCAGAGATCTTAGATGATTCAGGCAGTCCCTGCTGGCTGCAGCAGGGAGCTGAAGCTGGACTAGGAGCTGGTATGTAGGGGCACAGGAAGGGTGACTGAAGGAGGGAAGGGGAGGGAACCATGGGGGGA